GCGATGAGAGACAGGCATGATGGCGATGAGAGACAGGCATGATGGCGATGAGAGACAGGCATGATGGCGATGAGAGACAGGCATGATGGCGATGAGAGACAGGCATGATGGCGATGAGAGACAGGCATGATGGCGATGAGAGACAGGCATGATGGCGATGAGAGACAGGCATGATGGCGATGAGAGACAGGCATGATGGCGATGAGAGACAGGCATGATGGCGATGAGAGACAGGCATGATGGCGATGAGAGACAGGCATGATGGCGATGAGAGACAGGCATGATGGCGATGAGAGACAGGCATGATGGCGATGAGAGACAGGCATGATGGCGACGAGCGACAGGCATGATGGCGACGAGAGACAGGCATGATGGCGACGAGAGACAGGCATGATGGCGACGAGAGACAGGCATGATGGCGACGAGAGACAGGCATGATGGCGACGAGAGACAGGCATGATGGCGACGAGAGACAGGCATGATGGCGACGAGAGACAGGCATGATGGCGATGAGAGACAGGCATGATGGCGATGAGAGACAGGCATGATGGCGATGAGAGACAGGCATGATGGCGATGAGAGACAGGCATGATGGCGATGAGAGACAGGCATGATGGCGATGAGAGACAGGCATGATGGCGATGAGAGACAGGCATGATGGCGATGAGAGACAGGCATGATGGCGATGAGAGACAGGCATGATGGCGATGAGAGACAGGCATGATGGCGATGAGAGACAGGCATGATGGCGATGAGAGACAGGCATGATGGCGATGAGAGACAGGCATGATGGCGATGAGAGACAGGCATGATGGCGATGAGAGACAGGCATGATGGCGATGAGAGACAGGCATGATGGCGATGAGAGACAGGCATGATGGCGATGAGAGACAGGCATGATGGCGATGAGAGACAGGCATGATGGCGATGAGAGACAGGCATGATGGCGATGAGAGACAGGCATGATGGCGATGAGAGACAGGCATGATGGCGATGAGAGACAGGCATGATGGCGATGAGAGACAGGCATGATGGCGATGAGAGACAGGCATGATGGCGATGAGAGACAGGCATGATGGCGATGAGAGACAGGCATGATGGCGATGAGAGACAGGCATGATGGCGATGAGAGACAGGCATGATGGCGATGAGAGACAGGCATGATGGCGATGAGAGACAGGCATGATGGCGATGAGAGACAGGCATGATGGCGATGAGAGACAGGCATGATGGCGATGAGAGACAGGCATGATGGCGATGAGAGACAGGCATGATGGCGATGAGAGACAGGCATGATGGCGATGAGAGACAGGCATGATGGCGATGAGAGACAGGCATGATGGCGATGAGAGACAGGCATGATGGCGATGAGAGACAGGCATGATGGCGATGAGAGACAGGCATGATGGCGATGAGAGACAGGCATGATGGCGATGAGAGACAGGCATGATGGCGATGAGAGACAGGCATGATGGCGATGAGAGACAGGCATGATGGCGATGAGAGACAGGCATGATGGCGATGAGAGACAGGCATGATGGCGATGAGAGACAGGCATGATGGCGATGAGAGACAGGCATGATGGCGATGAGAGACAGGCATGATGGCGATGAGAGACAGGCATGATGGCGATGAGAGACAGGCATGATGGCGATGAGAGACAGGCATGATGGCGATGAGAGACAGGCATGATGGCGATGAGAGACAGGCATGATGGCGATGAGAGACAGGCATGATGGCGATGAGAGACAGGCATGATGGCGATGAGAGACAGGCATGATGGCGATGAGAGACAGGCATGATGGCGATGAGAGACAGGCATGATGGCGATGAGAGACAGGCATGATGGCGATGAGAGACAGGCATGATGGCGATGAGAGACAGGCATGATGGCGATGAGAGACAGGCATGATGGCGATGAGAGACAGGCATGATGGCGATGAGAGACAGGCATGATGGCGATGAGAGACAGGCATGATGGCGATGAGAGACAGGCATGATGGCGATGAGAGACAGGCATGATGGCGATGAGAGACAGGCATGATGGCGATGAGAGACAGGCATGATGGCGATGAGAGACAGGCATGATGGCGATGAGAGACAGGCATGATGGCGATGAGAGACAGGCATGATGGCGATGAGAGACAGGCATGATGGCGATGAGAGACAGGCATGATGGCGATGAGAGACAGGCATGATGGCGATGAGAGACAGGCATGATGGCGATGAGAGACAGGCATGATGGCGATGAGAGACAGGCATGATGGCGATGAGAGACAGGCATGATGGCGATGAGAGACAGGCATGATGGCGATGAGAGACAGGCATGATGGCGATGAGAGACAGGCATGATGGCGATGAGAGACAGGCATGATGGCGATGAGAGACAGGCATGATGGCGATGAGAGACAGGCATGATGGCGATGAGAGACAGGCATGATGGCGATGAGAGACAGGCATGATGGCGATGAGAGACAGGCATGATGGCGATGAGAGACAGGCATGATGGCGATGAGAGACAGGCATGATGGCGATGAGAGACAGGCATGATGGCGATGAGAGACAGGCATGATGGCGATGAGAGACAGGCATGATGGCGATGAGAGACAGGCATGATGGCGATGAGAGACAGGCATGATGGCGATGAGAGACAGGCATGATGGCGATGAGAGACAGGCATGATGGCGATGAGAGACAGGCATGATGGCGATGAGAGACAGGCATGATGGCGATGAGAGACAGGCATGATGGCGATGAGAGACAGGCATGATGGCGATGAGAGACAGGCATGATGGCGATGAGAGACAGGCATGATGGCGATGAGAGACAGGCATGATGGCGATGAGAGACAGGCATGATGGCGATGAGAGACAGGCATGATGGCGATGAGAGACAGGCATGATGGCGATGAGAGACAGGCATGATGGCGATGAGAGACAGGCATGATGGCGATGAGAGACAGGCATGATGGCGATGAGAGACAGGCATGATGGCGATGAGAGACAGGCATGATGGCGATGAGAGACAGGCATGATGGCGATGAGAGACAGGCATGATGGCGATGAGAGACAGGCATGATGGCGATGAGAGACAGGCATGATGGCGATGAGAGACAGGCATGATGGCGATGAGAGACAGGCATGATGGCGATGAGAGACAGGCATGATGGCGATGAGAGACAGGCATGATGGCGATGAGAGACAGGCATGATGGCGATGAGAGACAGGCATGATGGCGATGAGAGACAGGCATGATGGCGATGAGAGACAGGCATGATGGCGATGAGAGACAGGCATGATGGCGATGAGAGACAGGCATGATGGCGATGAGAGACAGGCATGATGGCGATGAGAGACAGGCATGATGGCGATGAGAGACAGGCATGATGGCGATGAGAGACAGGCATGATGGCGATGAGAGACAGGCATGATGGCGATGAGAGACAGGCATGATGGCGATGAGAGACAGGCATGATGGCGATGAGAGACAGGCATGATGGCGATGAGAGACAGGCATGATGGCGATGAGAGACAGGCATGATGGCGATGAGAGACAGGCATGATGGCGATGAGAGACAGGCATGATGGCGATGAGAGACAGGCATGATGGCGATGAGAGACAGGCATGATGGCGATGAGAGACAGGCATGATGGCGATGAGAGACAGGCATGATGGCGATGAGAGACAGGCATGATGGCGATGAGAGACAGGCATGATGGCGATGAGAGACAGGCATGATGGCGATGAGAGACAGGCATGATGGCGATGAGAGACAGGCATGATGGCGATGAGAGACAGGCATGATGGCGATGAGAGACAGGCATGATGGCGATGAGAGACAGGCATGATGGCGATGAGAGACAGGCATGATGGCGATGAGAGACAGGCATGATGGCGATGAGAGACAGGCATGATGGCGATGAGAGACAGGCATGATGGCGATGAGAGACAGGCATGATGGCGATGAGAGACAGGCATGATGGCGATGAGAGACAGGCATGATGGCGATGAGAGACAGGCATGATGGCGATGAGTATTGGGGGGGAAGAAGGGGCACAAAGAGAGGAGGAGAGTAGAGCCCTTGCTCGGGCTGCGTTGGGTTGGCTCGGGACAAGCCGCGCGTGAGTGGTAACGAGTGAGAGTGAAAGAATGAGATTGAGGAAATGAGAGTGAGGGAATGAGACTGAGGGAACAACAGTGAGGGAACGAGAGTGAGGAAATAAAAGTGAAGGAATGAGAGTGAAGGAATGAGAGTGAGGGAACGAGAGTGAGGGAACTAGAGTGAGGGAATGAGAGTGTTGGAATGAGAGTGAGGAAATGAGAGTGAGGGAATGAGAGTGAGGGAATGAAAGTGAGGGAACGAGAGTGAGGGAATGAGAGTGAGGGAATGAGAGCGAGGGAATGAGAGCGAGGGAATGAGAGTGAGGGAATGAGAGTGAGGGAATGAGAGTGAGGGAATGACAGTGAGGGAATGAGAGTGAGGGACTGACAGTGAGGGAATGAGAGTGAGGGAATGAGAGTGAGGGAATGAGAGTGAGGGAACGAAGTGAGGGTGGATGACGAGCGTCCGTGGTTGCAGACACCACGGACCATGCGTGGTTGCGCATCCATGCAGGTGCACCAGCGCACGTGTCACATGCGCTGCCATCAACAATGACATTCCCTCCCACCCCCACGCCACAACAGGGCTCACAGCAAGTTCACGCGGTGAGCCAGGCGTGTTGAACAAAGCTAGGCGCATCTATCACACCTTACATTGGCTCGACTGGTCACATCTAGATTCGTGCTTGCCCCTTCATCAGATTGCAGCACGCAGACGTTCTTTGGAAAGCACGATGATCAACTGGCTCCTGATAAAGCATCTAAGATTATTCGAATAACAGAACAATGTGTTACAAGTACCTGCACCTTACAACGCAGCGGGGCAGTGAGGGCACCTCACAATGCATCGGGGCAGAGAGGGCACCTCACAATGCATCAGGGCAGGGAGGGCCCATCACCTTATCGAGGAAAAAGTGGAAGTGCAGCGGTGAGAGCAGCCCTGCGAGCATGGGGATGGAGTTGGAGAAGATGGCGCTCAGGTTGTTCACGAACCTGCCCGCCCAGGGGGGTGACGGGGGGGGGGAAAGGGGAGAAGGAGGAGGATGGGGTGAGGCGTGGTGGAGGGTGGATGCAGGCGGTTAATAGGGCAACGGTTAGTTTGGCCAACTGCATGTTAAAGCACCTGCCAGGAGAGAGAGCGACACTTCCCTCTCTGCAGCCCTCTCCTGTGTCCTGCACTGCCTTGCTCTCTGCAAACGCGCCACACACATGCTACACCCGCAAGCCACCCATCCACCGCACACTCATACAGCACAGCTGCAGCAGCACCCGTGCCACGTGGCTCACTCGGATTGGTCGCCCACGGACTCGAGAGTGCTCCAGGGCATGCGCGCCATGCGGTCCAGCTCGCCGTCCAGCCGCCCCTCCAGCCCCGCCACCAGCACTGCCAGCGCGCGCGTGATGCAGCTCGAATACTCCTCCTGCCACGCCAAGGGTGGGTGAGTGGTTGGGTGGGAGGCGACAGGGTAGAGCTCACACACGGTGCCGCCGGCAGTATCAGCGCACGCATTATAGTGTTTGAAAGCTCCTCCTCCCATGCATGCCAAGCCGTGCCATGCCATGCCGCAGCAATGGAGGAAGCCCAGGGTGGGGGTGGGAGGGAGCAAAAGGGTAGAGCTTCACAAAGTGCTTCACACAGAAACAAGCTATGCCAACCATCTCTCCCGCGCAGTACACAGCGCATTGCATTGGTCCTCCCCCCCCCTTACCCCCTCTGTCCCCACAAGATTCCATCCACCCCACGACACGTCTTCACCCCCCGTGCAGCCCGCCCGCACGTGTGCACGGCTGACATGAGATCAACGCAGCCCACCAAGCGGGCATCAATGCGGAGTCGCTAGTGAGAAGCCACAAAAGCAACGCCTTGCCCCTCCCTCCCCCCCAGCCCGCCCCCAAGCCCATGCCTACCTGCTCGTCGCTGATGTCAACGGACGCCACCAGTGCCGCATCGATGCGGTTCGCCACACTCTCCGCCAGCTGTGCCGCCTGCCATGCCATGCCATGGGGGCAGCAGGGCAGGGGCAAAGGGGGGGAGGGTGCGGGTGAGTGCGGCACAGGTGCTCGGCCGTGTTGGTCCATGTGAGTGAGGCTGGTGAGTTTGCCCTCTCTGCCCGCTGTGCTGCCCGCCACACGGGAGGGTGGAAAGAGGGCAGCAAACAACAGTTTGGGAGAGACGAGAGAGGGATGGGAGACGACGTGGGAATGGGCACGATGGGAATGGTAGGTAGCGATTACAGTCAGGGGATAGAGGAATTCCGTAAGAGAGCAACAATAACATGACTGCTGCAGCACTGGGGTGTAGCCAGACTAACTGTCTCGTGGCACCACTCACTGTCTCGTGGCAGTACTCTGCAGTGTTGATGATGTAGCACACCACCCGCTCATCCTTCTCCGTCATCTGCCAGCAAGGGCACAGACTCGTGAGGAGGGAACAAGGCAGATAAGAGGGAGGAGCGAATAGAGCTAGCTGCTCATGTTGCCGTTCCTGCGCGCAAGTGGTGAACAGACCTGCACGCATGCGCGCAAACAAGTGCTGTGACGACCGAAAACCAGGCGATTGGGAGTGGGCGAGCGGGCAAGGGAAGAAGGGGATAGCAGGAGGGAGCCTGCATGCCATGAGGGGACATGCTGATGCTGGGGGTAAATGCGTCGTCCTGTCACGAGCTGTTACCCCCGCACCCACCCCACTCCACTGACTTATGAGCGGGAGTGATGACAGGCGCATGTGGCTCCTCCTCTCGCCCATCCATCCGATCCACTCCCTTCTTCCCCCTTGCCCTTCCGCCCGCCCCTCATCTCACCTCCGCCCCTCTCACCTCCGCCCGCGCCTCACCTTGACTTGCCACTCGCCCCCGCCGGTGGGCTGGGCAGCGCGGGGCAGGCGGGCGCTGAGGCGCGCCGCGTACTGCCGCAGCACACGCTTGAACACCTGCGAGGGGGGGAGATGCACGGATGAGGCATGCGCGATGTGCACGCGAGATGTACGCATGCGGCAGAGATATATAGCGCTGAGAATGATGCAGGTGAGACAGCAACGCGACTCGGGAAGCAGGAGCGGACAACAGGGCGCTCAGCGCAACAGAGCAGATTGACTAGAATGAAGCAAATGATGGAGCTGTGTCATGTTCGGCAAGATCTAAGAGAGGGCTCACCTCACCTGGAAAAGGGCTCACCTGGAAGAGGCTGAGCAGCGTTTGCTTCCTGGTGAGCTGGCAGCAGCGGTTGAAACTCTTGCGGATCGCCAGAAACATCTGCCGGGCGGCATGGGTGCACAGCCATGCAGGGTGGCACGGTGTGACAAATAGAAGAATAACAAATGGAAGATGAGAATAACACTGCTGCCTCGTCACAACCCAACTTCTCCCAACCACGGTTACCCGCCCACCTCTGAGCTGCTGCGCAGGATGTTGGTTTGGCTGCCCTCCTCCGCCTCCCATGTCTCCTCCTGCCAACACTCATGCACCACACGGCACATGCCATGCACCCATGCCCCCACACCATGCCCCATCCACCATGCCATGAACCATCAGGAAAAAAGAGAAACAGGACAACCAAGACATGAGTGAACGCAGGTCTCATCAGTTTGCAACACCATCCATCACTTGAACCTTAAAACACTATCATCCACCCTCCATATTACCTGCAGCAGCGTCTCACCTGCACGAGCTTGCCTCACCTGCACGAGCTTGCCTCACCTGCACGAGCTTGCCTCACCTGCACGAGCTTGCCTCACCTGCACGAGCTTGCCTCACCTGCACGAGCTTGCCTCACCTGCACGAGCTTGCCTCACCTGCACGAGCTTGCCTCACCTGCACGAGCTTGCCTCACCTGCACGAGCTTGCCTCACCTGCACGAGCTTGCCTCACCTGCACGAGCTTGCCTCACCTGCACGAGCTTGCCTCACCTGCACGAGCTTGCCTCACCTGCACGAGCTTGTCTCACCTGCACGAGCTTGCCTCACCTGCACGAGCTTGTCTCACCTGCACGAGCTTGCCTCACCTGCACGAGCTTGTCTCACCTGCACGAGCTTGTCTCACCTGCACGAGCTTGCCTCACCTGCACGAGCTTGCCTCACCTGCACGAGCTTGTCTCACCTGCACGAGCTTGCCTCACCTGCACGAGCTTGTCTCACCTGCACGAGCTTGTCTCACCTGCACGAGCTTGCCTCACCTGCACGAGCTTGCCTCACCTGCACGACCTTGTCTCACCTGCACGAGCTTGCCTCACCTGCACGAGCTTGCCTCACCTGCACGAGCTTGCCTCACCTGCACGAGCTTGCCTCACCTGCACGAGCTTGCCTCACCTGCACGAGCTTGCCTCACCTGCACGAGCTTGCCTCACCTGCACGAGCTTGCCTCACCTGCACGAGCTTGCCTCACCTGCACGAGCTTGCCTCACCTGCACGAGCTTGTCTCACCTGCACGAGCTTGCCTCACCTGCACGAGCTTGCCTCACCTGCACGAGCTTGCCTCACCTGCACGAGCTTGCCTCACCTGCACGAGCTTGCCTCACCTGCACGAGCTTGCCTCACCTGCACGAGCTTGCCTCACCTGCACGAGCTTGTCTCACCTGCACGAGCTTGCCTCACCTGCACGAGCTTGTCTCACCTGCACGAGCTTGCCTCACCTGCACGAGCTTGCCTCACCTGCACGAGCTTGCCTCACCTGCACGAGCTTGCCTCACCTGCACGAGCTTGCCTCACCTGCACGAGCTTGCCTCACCTGCACGAGCTTGCCTCACCTGCACGAGCTTGTCTCACCTGCACGAGCTTGCCTCACCTGCACGAGCTTGCCTCACCTGCACGAGCTTGTCTCACCTGCACGAGCTTGCCTCACCTGCACGAGCTTGCCTCACCTGCACGAGCTTGTCTCACCCTGCACGAGCTTGCCTCACCTGCACGAGCTTGTCTCACCTGCACGAGCTTGCCTCACCTGCACGAGCTTGCCTCACCTGCACGAGCTTGCCTCACCTGCACGAGCTTGTCTCACCTGCACGAGCTTGTCTCACCTGCACGAGCTTGCCTCACCTGCACGAGCTTGCCTCACCTGCACGAGCTTGTCTCACCTGCACGAGCTTGTCTCACCTGCACGAGCTTGTCTCACCTGCACGAGCTTGTCTCACCTGCACGAGCTTGCCTCACCTGCACGAGCTTGCCTCACCTGCACGAGCTTGTCTCACCTGCACGAGCTTGCCTCACCTGCACGAGCTTGCCTCACCTGCACGAGCTTGTCTCACCTGCACGAGCTTGCCTCACCTGCACGAGCTTGCCTCACCTGCACGAGCTTGCCTCACCTGCACGAGCTTGTCTCACCTGCACGAGCTTGCCTCACCTGCACGAGCTTGCCTCACCTGCACGAGCTTGCCTCACCTGCACGAGCTTGTCTCACCTGCACGAGCTTGCCTCACCTGCACGAGCTTGCCTCACCTGCACGAGCTTGCCTCACCTGCACGAGCTTGCCTCACCTGCACGAGCTTGTCTCACCTGCACGAGCTTGTCTCACCTGCACGAGCTTGCCTCACCTGCACGAGCTTGTCTCACCTGCACGAGCTTGCCTCACCTGCACGAGCTTGCCTCACCTGCACGAGCTTGCCTCACCTGCACGAGCTTGCCTCACCTGCACGAGCTTGCCTCACCTGCACGAGCTTGCCTCACCTGCACGAGCTTGCCTCACCTGCACGAGCTTGCCTCACCTGCACGAGCTTGCCTCACCTGCACGAGCTTGCCTCACCTGCACGAGCTTGCCTCACCTGCACGAGCTTGCCTCACCTGCACGAGCTTGCCTCACCTGCACGAGCTTGCCTCACCTGCACGAGCTTGCCTCACCTGCACGAGCTTGCCTCACCTGCACGAGCTTGCCTCACCTGCACGAGCTTGCCTCACCTGCACGAGCTTGCCTCACCTGCACGAGCTTGCCTCACCTGCACGAGCTTGCCTCACCTGCACGAGCTTGCCTCACCTGCACGAGCTTGCCTCACCTGCACGAGCTTGCCTCACCTGCACGAGCTTGCCTCACCTGCACGAGCTTGCCTCACCTGCACGAGCTTGCCTCACCTGCACGAGCTTGCCTCACCTGCACGAGCTTGCCTCACCTGCACGAGCTTGCCTCACCTGCACGAGCTTGCCTCACCTGCACGAGCTTGCCTCACCTGCACGAGCTTGCCTCACCTGCACGAGCTTGCCTCACCTGCACGAGCTTGCCTCACCTGCACGAGCTTGCCTCACCTGCACGAGCTTGCCTCACCTGCACGAGCTTGCCTCACCTGCACGAGCTTGACTCACCTGCACGAGCTTGCCTCACCTGCACGAGCTTGCCTCACCTGCACGAGCTTGCCTCACCTGCACGAGCTTGCTCACCTGCACGAGCTTGCCTCACCTGCACGAGCTTGCCTCACCTGCACGAGCTTGCCTCACCTGCACGAGCTTGCCTCACCTGCACGAGCTTGCCTCACCTGCACGAGCTTGCCTCACCTGCACGAGCTTGCCTCACCTGCACGAGCTTGCTCACCTGCACGAGCTTGCCTCACCTGCACGAGCTTGCCTCACCTGCACGAGCTTGCCTCACCTGCACGAGCTTGCCTCACCTGCACGAGCTTGCCTCACCTGCACGAGCTTGCCTCACCTGCACGAGCTTGCCTCACCTGCACGAGCTTGCCTCACCTGCACGAGCTTGCCTCACCTGCACGAGCTTGCCTCACCTGCACGAGCTTGCCTCACCTGCACGAGCTTGCCTCACCTGCACGAGCTTGCCTCACCTGCACGAGCTTGCCTCACCTGCACGAGCTTGCCTCACCTGCACGAGCTTGCCTCACCTGCACGAGCTTGCCTCACCTGCACGAGCTTGCCTCACCTGCACGAGCTTGCCTCACCTGCACGAGCTTGCCTCACCTGCACGAGCTTGCCTCACCTGCACGAGCTTGCCTCACCTGCACGAGCTTGCCTCACCTGCACGAGCTTGCCTCACCTGCACGAGCTTGCCTCACCTGCACGAGCTTGCCTCACCTGCACGAGCTTGCCTCACCTGCACGAGCTTGCCTCACCTGCACGAGCTTGCCTCACCTGCACGAGCTTGCCTCACCTGCACGAGCTTGCCTCACCTGCACGAGCTTGCCTCACCTGCACGAGCTTGCCTCACCTGCACGAGCTTGCCTCACCTGCACGAGCTTGCCTCACCTGCACGAGCTTGCCTCACCTGCACGAGCTTGCCTCACCTGCACGAGCTTGCCTCACCTGCACGAGCTTGCCTCACCTGCACGAGCTTGCCTCACCTGCACGAGCTTGCCTCACCTGCACGAGCTTGCCTCACCTGCACGAGCTTGCCTCACCTGCACGAGCTTGCCTCACCTGCACGAGCTTGCCTCACCTGCACGAGCTTGCCTCACCTGCACGAGCTTGCCTCACCTGCACGAGCTTGCCTCACCTGCACGAGCTTGCCTCACCTGCACGAGCTTGCCTCACCTGCACGAGCTTGCCTCACCTGCACGAGCTTGCCTCACCTGCACGAGCTTGCCTCACCTGCACGAGCTTGCCTCACCTGCACGAGCTTGCCTCACCTGCACGAGCTTGCCTCACCTGCACGAGCTTGCCTCACCTGCACGAGCTTGCCTCACCTGCACGAGCTTGCCTCACCTGCACGAGCTTGCCTCACCTGCACGAGCTTGCCTCACCTGCACGAGCTTGCCTCACCTGCACGAGCTTGCCTCACCTGCACGAGCTTGCCTCACCTGCACGAGCTTGCCTCACCTGCACGAGCTTGCCTCACCTGCACGAGCTTGCCTCACCTGCACGAGCTTGCCTCACCTGCACGAGCTTGCCTCACCTGCACGAGCTTGCCTCACCTGCACGAGCTTGTCTCACCTGCACGAGCTTGTCTCACCTGCACGAGCTTGCCTCACCTGCACGAGCTTGCCTCACCTGCACGAGCTTGCCTCACCTGCACGAGCTTGCCTCACCTGCACGAGCTTGCCTCACCTGCACGAGCTTGCCTCACCTGCACGAGCTTGCCTCACCTGCACGAGCTTGCCTCACCTGCACGAGCTTGCCTCACCTGCACGAGCTTGCCTCACCTGCACGAGCTTGCCTCACCTGCACGAGCTTGCCTCACCTGCACGAGCTTGCCTCACCTGCACGAGCTTGCCTCACCTGCACGAGCTTGCCTCACCTGCACGAGCTTGCCTCACCTGCACGAGCTTGCCTCACCTGCACGAGCTTGCCTCACCTGCACGAGCTTGCCTCACCTGCACGAGCTTGCCT